ATTGAGAGTGTCTTTCACTGACTGGACCGGTTGCATAGCAATGGCACAGCTACATGCTATAGGAGGTGAATTTAAGCACCAGCTTGATCTCTGACTCCAATCCACACTTCACAGTTTCCTTTTTCCCACCGTTGGAGGGCTGGGATGGCTTAGAAAGGAGCCGGATTGGCAAGTCCTGAAACACGCAGCCTGGGTTTTAAACAGCCCACTGAAGCTGTGGACGGCTTTCCATCATTCTCTAACTTCCGCGGTACCTGTGTGAGAGAAAAATGATTGGAGAAGTAATGAAAGGGCCAGGCTTATAATAATAAATTAATATATATTTATAATATATTCAGACAAATGAGTTTCAATTAACCTTGGTATGGGGCTGAAATGCATGTTGTAGCTGCACAATGCATGGAGAGTTCAGTTTGTTCTTTGCAAAGGAATTAATCAAATGTGAACGAAAAGTACAAAAGCACCAAGAATAACTAACAGGAAGCATTTGTGAGCAATTTTAATACAATACAGTCTAGCTAATATTAGTTCAATCTCCTGAGTGGATGACAGCTGTGGGAGTTTAGCAGATTACATTTGGTTATGTATCATTTTAGCTATTGAAAGAACATCACATGACTACAGGTAACAGATGATCTATTAAGACTAAAGTTGTCCTTTGTCGTGTTTTACTGTAACGATGGGTTTTTAGAACAAGTGTGTCTGTGACGTTTGCCTCAAGTGGACACATGAGGAACTGCAGCATTTTTAGTCAAGTCAAGTCAAGTCAAGTTTATTTGTATAGCACATTTCAGCAGCAGGGCAATTCAAGGTGCTTTACATGAAACAAGCAGGCAAAACATTCAACACAATTCAAAAAGTAAAAACAGCGTAAAAGACATTTAACAGATTAAAAGTTACATTCAAAGCTAAAATAAGATTGGAGATAAAAGAAAACAAAGGTTAGATTGGAGAGATAGAAAAAAAAAAAAGATCAAGACAGGCAGATGATGAAGATGTTGATTAAAGGCCTCAGGTTTGATTTAATGATAGGCCACAGCAAACATATGCGTTTTCAGCTGTGATTTAAAAGAGCTGAGAGTTTCAGCAGACCTACAGTTTTCAGGGAGTTTGTTCCAGATATGAGGAGCATAAAAACTAAAAGCTGCTTCTCCACGTTTAGTTCTGACTCTGGGGACAGAGAGCAGACCTGCTCCTGATGATCTGAGCGGTCTGGATGGTTCGTAACGTATCAGCATATCAGAAATGTATTTTGGTCCTGATCCATTCAGTGCTTTATAAACCAGCAATAGTATCTTAAAATCACTTCCCTTAATCACTTCCTCATTGGCTTCATTTCTCGAGAACAAGGGTTGCTGCTCGTCTGACACACTGAATTTCACATCAGGCATCTGATTGAAAAACAAGCATCAAGGATAAACAATCAGCATAATTAGAAAAATGAGTAAGAGTTTTTAAATAATGCACAACAGATGTGTCCAGGATGTAAAACTTGTTTACATTAATCCTTTTAATGCCAAAACTACTTCTCATCACCATCAGTTCGACTTTTTTCTTATAGTTTTTTTCCTCTTTCACAACTTTTCTCTCTGACTATCTCTCCCTGTTTGTCTCCCCCTCTCTTTCTCTCTCTGTCTTTTAACTCTCCTCCTCTCATATGTGTCTCATTAGCAGATGCCCCCTGCAGCAACCTGATGCCATCCTGTGACCCTGTATCTCAGCAGGCCTCCAATCAGCACACTCCAGGTGGCTCTGTAGCAGGATGGAGGAGCTCTCCTTTCTCTCACCCCACCCTTGATTTGTTCCCTCACCCCCTGCAATTGGAACTTTACTTTCACTCTTGCCCCAACCATCCCTCCCTCCTATGTCTCCTCTCCTTCTCCACAATCAGGGGCTTGGATATTAAGCTCTACTGTGGGTGTCCTGTATCCCCCTTCTTTCTGTATTAACAATGGAGATAATACCAAATCCTAATTGCTGCTCTTTGTGGGTAATACTGATCAAAATCGACCGAAAGGTTCCACAGCTTTACACCTGCTGTATGTGAGCAGGTTGAGAGTATCATGCAGTCTGTTAAGTAAAGCAGCTGTTGTTTACAACATGTCAGGAAAAAAAAAGAGGAAATCTGCAGCTTTCATGCAACAGCCGCATAATGAAAACATCAGAGCAGGACAAGCAGAAATATGGAGCTGGAGCCATATCTGGGCCATATTTCTGTTAAAGCAGCTTTATTTGGCTCGGTTCTGTCGAGTCGGAGCCAAAACAAAGTGAGACAGAGACAGATTAAACTCGGCTCTATCAGGCACGTGGAGCAGAGGACTGTGGAAATCCTGAGGTGTTATTCTGAATATTTCTCACCTGATGTGATCACTCCTCTCCCTCTCTCTCTCTCTCTACCTTACATGCACACATTGTACAGTAGGTAAAGCTGTTTTGAAGCCGTGGAAACATTCCTCACTTCAGTCATCTGCATCATGCTCAGTTGAGGAAAACATGCAGGCGTGTCTGACATCTGTCCTCCACAGCGAGCGGTAAAAATTTCAGGTGATGCAGCTATTTTTAGACACTTTCCTGCACTCACGCTTCTGTCTCTTATTAATGAGGCTGCAGACTACACAACTCAAGTATCTCACCGTCTGTTCGTTTGAATCAAATTATTCCTATTTCTGATGCGTCAGGTTTCAACTCTTCATATGAAGTAAAGTGTCCCTGTTAGGGGATGTTATCTTTCCCCGCTCAATCACTCAGGTCGGTATAATCCCCGAAAGGTGATATGTTTGAACGCTTGGAAAAATTAAAACAGGAATGAAAATGTCGAGTGAATTTTAAGTGATTCTGTTACATCTCCCATTGTGAAGAAATCTGCAGTTCGAGGGAGAACGTAACTCATCCTTTTAACCAAACCATGCATTACTTACATTGTGAAAAAGTAGCAGCTGGATGACACTTAAAGCCACTGTAAGGAACTTTCATGCTGTGTTGATTCTGGGGACCCCTTTGGACAAAATGGGTATTTTTTAATGGAATGTGAAGACTGCATTTCCCATAAACACCGTCACCTGCTGTCATGATGACATGGCTCTTGGGAAAGTGTGTAGATGTTGTGGAGGCAAGTAAATAGAGCATACATCACACAGTGGAAGTGTTTTAAATATTATTTTTTAACGTTTTGTTTTTTGGGCATCTGGGCGGCACAGTGGTGTAGTGGTTAGCACTGTTGCCTCACAGAAAGAAGGTCCTGGGTTCAAATCTTGGTCAGGGCATTTCTGTGTGGAGTTTGCATGTTCTCCCCGTGTCTGTGTGGGTTTACTCCAGGTACCTCGGTTTCCTCCCACATCCTAAAAACATGCAGAAGTGAGGTTAGGTTAATTGGTCACTTTCAAATTGTCTGTAGCGTAGATGGTTGTTTGTTTGACTTGTCCAGGGTGTCCCCTGCCTTCGCCCCAAGATGCTGGGACAGGGTTTGGGACCCCTAACTGGAAAAGCGGTAGAAAATAGATGGATGGATGGGTTATGGGGCATTTTTTTTCTCTAATGAGACAGGAAATATGGGAAGGAGAGATTGGGGGAAGACATCAGGCATAGGGTCATGGTCGGGAATCAACCCGCTGCTATGAGAGCTCTAGCCTCTGAATATTAAGCTCTTAAAACAGCATTTAATTTCCTTGATTTATGTCTCATTTGAGGTTTTACTATTTAATTGCATGTGTCACTCTGAGAGCGTGATTTTAATTTGAAATTGTTTTATTTTGAAATAGTTCGTTCTTTTGAAGTGAAGTAATTTCCTGCCCGCTGAGACTGAATAGTTTGCAACTGCCATCAACCGATCAGCTAAAACAAGTGTGAATCCTGCAGCAAGCTGAGGAACAAAGACGAATAACAGGGACAATGTGAAGAGCAGGAGTGCGTGGAGATCAAGAGGAACGAGTGTTGAGAAAATAATAACGACTGATAGCGGCCCATAGAAGCACAGCAGCTAGCCTGTGACCCGGCCAAATCCAGAGTGTAATGGCGCAAAAAAACAGCAGCTTGAGGAAGTATCAATAACCGTTGGTACCATCTAAGTCTAGTAACACTCAGGTCCATGGGTTGTGTTGTAGAAATGGTAGAAGAATAACTCAATGATGAGGATTTAACCAAAGGTGTTGAGAGTTTTGGCATAAATACAGTTTGAGTTGCAGTAATCTTTCAGGAGAATTCAACAACTCGTCACACTGCAGATGTTTGCATATCCATCACACTGTGTTTGGAGCGGTGCAGACTAACGGACTGCTGCACAGGTTTGTGTTGATTCTGTCATCATAATGGAGCGGCTCAGTGAACAACCAAGAAGTGTTTACCCAGATTAATAGAAAGACTCTGACAGTTTCAAGGCCCGCCGGATTTTACACAAGACAGAACAAAGACAGGCGACTGGACTGGCACATGCACATTGTTCTCTCCGTGTTCCCTCAGTCCTTGGAGAGGATCTTGCGAAGTTCATTAATCTTGAACGAGAGCCGACTGCTGCTGCAAAATCCAAGTCCAGGAGAATCAGACTCGTTCATATTTACATAAAAACTCTTGCAAAAATGAGATCGACCTCCGTCTTATTATTATTTTATTTTAGCAGTCATTAACTGTCATTTCCAAGAAATATCCAAACAATACAAAACCTCTCTTACAAAGCGGTCCTTGGAAAGACAAATCCACAAAAAAGTTTCACAAGAAAGGATAAACAACATTTAGACGTGCTTCTGCTGGTCAAATAATCCATAATCCTGATTTTTTTAATCTTCCATTCTCTGAATTTTATCAGCATCTTCCACGCTTATAAAATAATCCAGTTTGCAGTGACTCTGAGTCTCATACTAAGAGGAGGAACCACAAACATTTGAAATGCTTTTACCAAAGACGGCAAGTTTGAGGAAAGACATAAATATGTGATGTGACGGTGTGATAGAGCTCCTGAAAGTTTAAGGAGTCAGGAGAGAGCACAGAGGAGAAGGTGGCTCATGTCGCTTGACCCTATTCCCAACGGTTTCTGCAATTCAGCATCACAGAGGTTCCTGTGGAGGACTGTTGTGGACCTGCAAAGTCTCAAGCTGACCTCAGACACCTACACCTAAAGACAGAGCTTAATTCTTTTCACAATGACATCAAACAGGAAAAATAACAGAAAAATGAAAGACAATACAATCTGAAAATGTTGATCAGTCCTGAAGCCCGTCATATGGACTGTTTTAAGATGTGCCTTGAGTCGTATTGGCTCTCGAGAACCTGACGCCATGACGTGAACCACACGGACTGTCGCTGAATTCCAGCTCAGTCTCACTCACCAGTACCAGCACCGATGGAACAACGACACGCTGGAAAATCATTTCTGTGATTGTCTGCTGATGATGTGAAGGTCCGGTAGCAGGATCTCCACTGGATCCAGAGGCGGTTGCACCACCGCCTACGGGAGCCAATTTGCTGAGACCGCTAGCTCTTGGCTAAAGACTTCGGCGTATTCCTCCTCTCCTCATGGAGAAAAAACACTCCACAACTAGTCTAATTGGCACACTTCAAAATCCGTCAATGGTGCTCAGAGAAAATAAAAAAATCAGTCCAAATCTGTCATTGGCACTGAATGAGTTAACATGGCTGAATCGCAACTACTGCCAGTTCCTCCAAAAACCTAGGAGACCGCATTTAAAGGGATTTACAGTGTTCCAATGAACGTACAGAATTCTACGCCACTTTGTTCTGAAAACAGCGAGACCTGGAATTGAACCCCAACCCTACCACTGAGCCACAGCTGTGACTTTGTCTGTGTTGTTTCCATTTAAAGTACTTTTGACAGCTCAAAAGTTGTTTAAAAAGAACTAATTGACCTTACAGAATGAGTAACGGGCCACCTAAGGCCCCCTAAGGGTCAGAACCCTTAGTCCCCTTTGAAACTCTCTGCTCCTACATCAAAACAAGTCCTCTGCTCCCCCTGGGTCTGAACCCAAAATAGCTGCAAGACTCAACTCTGATTGGGGGAGTTTCATTTAGTTTTACCTTACAATGTGCTCTTTGAAATTTGTCAATACTATCAGAAGTGAATGACGGATCAGAACGAACCGAGATCACGCTGTCTCAGACGTTTGGATGTTTCCTGTTTACGCTGCGTACAGCCTGGAACGTGTCTCCTCTCCCCCCTCTGTGTCTGTGTGTCTCCCACTCGCTGTAATAACTATGATTATAAACCTGACAGACAACTCTTACAACATCCATCACGCTTATCTCATGCTGAAAGTGTGACAGACACACAGACAAGAATCACGCACAGCGGGGCACGAAAGAATACAGTCACATACACGCTGAAATTGTCTGACACATCCCGCTGCTCTCCCAGTCCTCCGCCAGTTCCTTTTATAACCTTCCTGTTCAGGCAAAGAGGCTCCACTTCCAAATGATGTCACTCACAGCCCCGGCCAAGTTTGCCCATGTCGCTGCTAAATCCCACTTGACAGAGGCTTTGTCTTCAGTTTGGAGCTCCCGAGTGAACAGGCAGCAGTGTGTGAGACACACAGAGAGAGGGAGGTAGGAAGAGACAAAGAGAGTTAAACGGGTGCAGGCGAAGAGTTTGTGAAAACGTTTCAAAGGGAGATTGATTTACTTCAACATACAAATGCACGTCAACATGAACTTTTTCAATCATAAAGATTTTTGCTGCAGAAAGTTCTTCTCAGAAAACCTTTAAAAAAAGACGGACTATTCATTACGTCTCCCAGCCAACCTGGATGGTTTCTGCCTTTAAAATGGCCTCAATTAGTTATCACTGTAGGGCAGATGTAGAGTAGGAGGTCAACATGTTATCAGTCAATCCTTCATTTATATAGTGCCAATTCACAATGAGCGTTATCCCAGGACGCTAATCAAAGAAAAGCTGGTCTCGACCAAACACTGTTTACAAAAACCTTTGTAAAGATGGGATACGATCAGACCCACTCCATCATCTTCATCCACATGAGGATGGTGCATTCAGCAAATTACAGTGAAGTGGAAAAACTTCTTTTAACTCATTCAGTGTCAGGTTCTTTTATGCAATTTTCACCCAGTGCCACCATTGACCGCAATAGAAATTTCTGTATCTTTCAGGACCCACAGAATATCTTGTGCTTGGATTAGAATTTTGTGCAATATCTCAAAAGAAAGGAGTGATTCTCTTTCTTTACCAGAAAAACAAAAGTAAGTCTCTAACCCACTCCTGTGTTTAGTTATTGTCTGCTCAATGCAGCGTGGTCATATCATCTTTGCCGATCTGGAAAAAGAAACCTGAGAAAAACACATTTTTACAAAGGAGAGACTTTCAAGCAGAACTCTGATCATCTATTTCATTTCACTTCAAACTTCTTTACGGGTGGCATCAAGGTCCTCCCTCCTCGGACATCACTCTTCATCACTCTCAAGATCAGATTGTGATAGGTCACTTTGTGACGACTGGGGGTCATATTGGCTCTAGAGAACCTGACGCACTGACATAAACCACACACCACCTGGACTGTCGCTGAATTCCGGCTCAGCCTCGCTCACCAGTACCGGCACTGTCCATGGGAGCTGATGCACCGAGACCTTTAGCTCTTGGCCAAAGACTTTGACATTTTCCTACTCTCCTCATAAAGAAAAAACACTCCACAACTAGGCTAATTGGCACACTTGATGGCACACTTCTCACTGGCGAGTACTTGTTTTTGTTACTGTATTATGGTTATGATATCTTTGTCGCCTTTTCTACGTTCAGAACGACCCCAAACTTAGTCGCATGTTTGGGAGGAGCGCCCTCTGGCAGAAAACAAAAAACTGAAAATCCGTCAAAATCTGTCAGTGGTACTGAATGTGTTAACAGGCAGAAACCTCAAGCAGAACCAGACTCATGTAAGACAGCCATCTGCTGAGGCTGCATTGGGTTTAGAGAGGAGAGAGGGGAAGATGCAGGAAAAGAGAAACAGACAGAGAAACTGATGCACATAGTTGAAAGCAGACAGATCTACAGCAGTAAAACATCTGCAGCAGCGATCTGCAGGAGGCTACAGCATGATGGAGCTCAGAGACTCCAAGAATAGACTGTATTAGTGACTCTAATGAGACACCGTGATTGAAAGTCATTTGGTTTGACTCTTGCTGTCCATTATCAAGGTGAAACAACCCAAAGCTAGGCTCTGTGGGGCTCCCACTGCACATCCCTTTAAATCATACAGGCTTATGTAGCCCAGCATCCACACACACACACACACACACATACAAGCCGCTGTTCATCAAGTCATTCAAAATCCACTTCCATCACCCGACATCACACTGTGAGCAACCTGCTGAGTGAGCTCAAGACTAAAGAAAGGAAAACCTCCTTCTGCACTACAGTCAGAAAACCAGAAAATTCACTCTGGGAAAGACTGAAATTAAGACCCGGTTACAGCAAGTTAGAGACATCTTTATTATGCATTCCTCTTAATCAAAACACAGACATCACATTAACAATACAGCTCATCTATTCTGTTTAAAATGAACAGAAATCAACAGTTCTCTGGATCAAGTTGTCTATGATCCATCCTCCCAACAGGGTTTGGATCCTTTTTCCATCTCAACCTCTACATAAACACTCATACTGATAATTCAGGCTCTTTTTAGTGATCCAGATCTTTGGCTCAGCAAGAACAGGCTTTTACCTCTTCACTTTACCAAATCACTTCTCATAGTACCAATTTTTGTCTCTTCATGACTGACTTATCGCTTTACCTTTGTTGGTTGGTCATTCTTGTCCATTCGTAGACCGTGTTTTAGGTCCTTTCTCCTTTTTTCGAACAGAGGAGCAGAGGAACTTTTTTAAGAGTCTTTTCTAGAGGTCGGGACTGAGATGAACTAAAAATCTTTTAATTTGTTTCTTCTTCTGCTGAAGCTAAATGAACAAGTTTCACTCTGTAGTTTAAACGCAATGTTAAAAACTGGAGGAAGAAACGTGGCTGGAGGTGTTCTGTCTGGTGCTTGATTGGGAAAAGGATACGCAGTGATTCATTACAGACGTTAATCCTTGTGTGTATTGTGTTTGTGTGTGAGGTAACTTTGTAAAACTGTGCTGTTGCCCGTCTTAGTCAGTGTGTTAAACACAGATTTTTAATCTTGATGGGTTTTTTTTCTGCTGGTAAAATAAATATAAGTATAATTAAAAAAAAGAAAAACAAATATAATACAATATAAATATATATTTTAAAAATAAATATAATAAGAAAATCTGATTCAAACCAAATAAGATAAATTCTCTTAAAGTTTAAAAAAAAAGGAATTATTGAATCTGTAAAGCTGCATTTAAAGTGAATAATCTTTATTTCACTATTTTTTTATATCAGCACATTTTTTATCTTTCATTCAATTTTTATTCATTTTTTCTCATAATATTTTTACTCACTCTTGACACTCAGAAGCATCTTTTTCCAACTTAACTCTTTATTTTCTCTCTGATAGATTTTTTTATGGCGCCACATAAGCGAGGCTCCACTCACATCTATGAGCTCTGCAGCATTGGCTTATTGATTTATTGACTGGTTGGATTAATTGATAAATGATGGATGGAGAGAGAGAAAGGGATGCAGGAAAGAGTTCATGAAGGTCATCCAGTGGTGATTCAAATCTCAATGTGACGCTTTAATTTGAGTATATTTGGTCACACAGAGAGGAGGAAATAAAAATGTTGAACATCTCAGAAAAGAACAGACCTGGAGCTGCATAACTTGACCAAAACTCTTCACTCCCGAGGGAATTGTGGTTAATACGCTCCCTCAAGTGGAGTTTAGATGAAAGCAGCTTCTGGACGCGTTAATGCTCAGAGCTCTGCAGGATTTCTGGTGGGGCGTACCTGCTCTAAAGCACCTGGTGAGAAGTTAAGAGGATAATGGAGGTTAGGAGGGTGAAGCCTCTCACATAGCGAGGAACTACTGATTCTAAAACTGTCAAGACCTTGAGATAAACCAGCTGCTAAACACTGCTGCAAAGAGCAGTTTGAGGATCACAAGGTTGAGTTGGAAAATTTTTGGAAAGGCTGTGAATAAAATCAACTTTCGTCTGTTTGTTAGTTCGTCTTCATGACTGCTTCGTGTGGGATCAAATATTCATGCGTCTCCCCCGCTGTTGGGATTGATGTCGAAAATGAAACGCTGCCACAGGGAACAAGCCGCATATTGTCTTTGTAAATGCAATTAATATTACAAGAGCTGTTTGTGATAGGAAACAGAAGCAGGTAGAAGAGCGACTCTCCCCACACCTCACCAGACTCTGTGTGTTTTCAGATCCTGGCTGCTGTGCAAACACCATATGGTCCGGATTTCCTGAACCAGAAGAAATTCAGTCAGTCATCCTGGGGACTAATCTAACGAAACAAATAGGTTTGGCGTCATGCAGGAGAATCAGGAGGAATACGCCTCTGACCCATTTTCTGCTCCCGACCATTAGTTTAAGAAATCAGGGCATATGGTGAGGGTTGTAGGGTGCTTTTTTTCTGTTGGGCTGGGAAAAGGGGGCCGGAGTTAAACAGTTTTTGTTTAGAGGCAGATGTTTGTTGGGTATTATGAAGCTTAGGGCGATTCTCCCTGAGTGGAGACAGCCAACCATGGTTCCCCCTGAGATCACCCTTAAATAAACTACGATAAATAAGGATAGTGTGACAAAAATCTGTATTTACAATCATTTATATCAGGGAGTGAAAATTAAATACATTTTTAGAATTATTATAATTAATACTTAAATATTTCAAGAATTTTTTGGTTTCAATTCATCACAGTTACCGCACAATAGGTGTAAAAAAAAAAAAAAAAGCATAAAGCTTATAAATCAAAATATTTATCCCTTGTTTGAGAAAATTACAATGCAAACATTTCATCGCTTCTCCTGAATGAGTTGGTCATCTCCATCCATCTCACAGGAAAGGAGTTTCATCAAGCATTAACATTTTTGAGAAGTTGAACCTTTAACATCTCAAATCCTTGTCTTTTGATTTTAGGAAACATAAAAAAAAAAATGGAATTATCTGAAATACTTTGTTTAATGTTCATTGTTTATTAGGATCCCCATTAGCTTTTGTCAAGACAAAGCTATTCCTCCTGGGGTCCAACACAGAAAATAAAACATCACATAAATATTCATCCATGATTAAACAATCACTCATTTACCAAACAATTAAATAAAAATAGGAAAAAAAGGATGTTACAAGAAAATAACAAAAGGAATCAATTTGAAATAAGACAGGATCATATACAATACATTAGTACAGGCTTAATCTCATCAAGTTTTTCTTGAAAACCAATTTTATGCTTGAATTTTTTATATGATTAGGTATTGAGTTCCATCCTGCAATGGCTCTAATGAAATTCTGATTTTCATGAGCTACATCCATCAGTTAAAAACACAAAAATGTTTAATTTAACACCACAAAGAAAAAATTAATCTTTATTTGTCT